TCCCTACATTTGTCCTAGTCAAAGGACCTTTCCTAAAGTTCATGTGAAGATGACAATGCAGTGGGAACCAAGAGGCTGTTAAAAAGCTGCTGTCTGAGGATCTCCATATTCAGAAGCTTCTGTGATCAGTAGGGGGGTGTAAGGCAGCTCACCCCTGGAACTTTCAAGGCATCTTACATCAGGTTTTCATTACTCTGCTCAGTCACAAGTGTCCAGAGGGACAGAGATCTACTCAACAGAGTCCAGCAGAGGACTACGAGGAAGACTGGGGGACTGGAACGCCTGCTGTATGAGGAGAGGCTGAGAGACCTGGGGCTTTTTAGTCTGGAGAGGAGAAGACTTAGGGGGGATCTAATTAATGTGCATAAATATATGCAGGCTGGATGTCAAGAAGAAGGGGGCAACCTGTTTTCACTTGTACCCTGCCGTAAGACAAGGGGCAGTGGATGCAAGTTGGAGCACAGGAAGCTCTACCTCAACATGGGGAAGAACTTCTTTACTGTAAGGGTTCCAGAGCACTGGAACAGGCTCCCCAGGGAGGTTGTGGAGTCTCCTACCTTGGAGACTTTTAAGACCCATATGGATGCATTCCTGTGTGACCTTCCTTAGACTAGATGGTCCTGCTCTGGCAGGGGGATTGGACTTGATCTCCAGAGGTCCCATCCAACCCCTAACATTCTGTGATTCCTTCACTGTAACCTATTCAGCAGACAACTGAGACAGACATCTACTAACTCTCCCTTTTCCCATGATCTCCTAATTCTAGTTCCACACTGGGAGGGATTATAGTCTTGGTATCTTTTCATGCAGAGCTCCAAGACTGCATCTTTCAAGCTTGGTTCTTCTAAGTTACAACTACAGAGAAGCATGGTATGGAGTATGAATTACCACCTACACTGCAGTGCTTCTGAAAATGGGATCTGAGGGACTATCGTTGTTCTCTGCAGAAAGAGTAACAGCCGTGGCCAGTATCTCTCTGTGTGTCTGTCTGCTTAGTGGCCAAGCAGAGATATCACACAACAGTTCAAAGGATGTTGAGAGACTCACTGTTAAATGGAATAGAGGCAAGGATAATTTAATCTATTCAGCACACTATTTTTCTTCTCAGAAATGTTGTGTGTTATATTTGTGTCAGGCATTCCTAAATGGGTGTGTAGCCTCTGGGTTACCAACCATCTGATGCTGTTCTATAGTACCGTATTACAACCTGACTGCAGAGTTTTTCTTCACCTACTTTGTACGGGCAGAGCCCTGTTTCAGTCCACTGTATGTTACCCTATAGATAAGGGGGGAGAGGACCCTCAGCTTTCCACTGCTGTCACTGGAAATTGGATGGTGGGGCGAGGAAACTACTTATTTTTGTATTTGCTTCAGGCTCCATTTTTCAGAGGTGACTATGAATAGTTATAGTTACAGTCAGGTCAGCTCTTAAAAGGAAAACCAGTAATTTAGGTTGAATTGCAACCATTAGGTGGTGATTGATGTGAGGTGAACTAATATTCCTTATTTAAAGGTTTAAAATTTTATTTCTACCCTCAAATTATCTGTTGCTTACTCAACAGTGGGTGCACCTAAATCAGAGGTTATCAGTCTCCTGAAAGCACAGTTTCCTTCGGGAAGCATCAGCAGCATGACTTGCATGGGATGCAGAACTGGTTTAAAGCTGCAGTTTACAGTCCCTCTTCTTCCTATTCTGTTTGTCTGCCAAAAAGTGAGGCCTGAGCATGTACATAGAGGGTAATACCTGAAGAAAAAAAAACCAAAACTACAAAAGCAGGAAGTTTGAGCCATGGCTGTTGATCGTCGAGTTTCAGTGCATGGATGCTATTGATGGTGTCCCTTGTAGGAAATGTAGTTACAGGTTTTCCCAGCACAGGCAGAGTCTGTGCATTGTGCATGACTTACCTGGGCTAGCATTTATATGCAAGAGTCTGCGGCGTGGGGGGAGATGAGAAGAATTGGTATACTTGCACTCTTTACAGTTGAGGAATTTAATTATTTTTTGTATTATACATAAATGGGCCTGTCTTCTGAAGCACCCATTTTGTGTTGAAGCACTGTTCTTTAAAGTTGGAGTTTTTTTCAGATACTGTTACAACAGCTTCAGACCAAGGGCAAACAATTGTCATTGTGGCATCACTAAATTTAGTGGCAATAATCCCTGTCCCTACATCAAAGTGGCTTCAAGAAAATTGTAGGTTGGTGTTGTTAACTTAGAGTTATCCATATCAAAATTCTTTGAGCTGGAGTAAGATCTGTAGTACTGCAGATGAATATCCAAAGTGCCCAGGTAGGTGTTAGGTTCAGGAAGGCTGGTGTTTCATGAGGAACTGCTGGAGCCACTGCTTGTCATCCATCAACACAAGCAGAGGTGTATTGCCCCCTTGCTGTTTTAGAACTGGTGTTTGGCAGCTGGAATTTGTTTAGCTGGAGCTGTTTCTCGTGATTTCTCTGTATCTGGTTTCCTGTACCCTGTTGGTCGTCTGGAATAAAAACCCTTCAAATGCCTTTTTTAATTCCTAACAGCGTATCTTTCTGGGGTCAGGACTGCTTTTGGGATCATTGGAATGCTTGCTGGCCTAAAGTTTCAGGTCCTAGTGGGCTAAGTATCCATGCCTTGGATGATCACCAAGGAGGAAAAAAAAGATGTGTAATCATTTGCATACTCAATGTTGAACTTAACTCTCCAACCCTGCGTGGGTGTATCCACAGTTAAGCAAAAAGGCTGCACATATCAGCCCTGTGTATTTGATATGAAAACCACAAGAGACAAAACCCTAGCCTCTCAATGAATTTATTTTTTTTTAAGTTGTGCACCAAAGGCATGCCCATAGCTTTGTTCATGTGGGCAAAAAAAAGTGTGTTATGTAACTCTGTCTTTTCCTCTAATTTACCTGGAAACATGAGTGATCATTTTTCTCCATTTCTGACATCTGCAAAAGTATGCATATCATCGTTTGTGATAGAATCACTCACTGTGAAATAAATCCTTCAGAGAGAGACAAACTGAATCTTTGGTTTGGCCTTATTTGCAAAACCAAGACTGTTGCCAAACAAATCGCTCCACCTGAGAGGAGAAAAGTTTGACCCAAATATTATACTTGCTTTCTCTTTCCTCCAAAGAGTATTAAGAACAGCTATGGTACAGAATACATATGAATAGCTATAAAATATACTATTGAAGTATTTTATCATCTAAGCAAATGTGTAATAGACGTAGCACAAACCTTATTTTAAAAGAAATCCACATAGGGTATGCAGGTTCACAGAAGAAGCACCATGCAGTTATCACTGATTTATGTTTGAACACGTGGTATAACAGTCAGTTTAGACTTTAAACCTTAGTCTGTTTTTTCAATTTTTTTTTTCACAGTTGGTGTCACTCTAGAGCAAAATTACAAATAAAATCTTCCTGGATTTTTTACTTTGTATCTCAAATGTTTTCAGAGACAACAGTCTTTGTCAGAAAATACAAGACAAGAGCTTTTGAAAAGAACCATTGTGGAGCTTGTTGAGTTTATTTCTCCTAAAACACCTAAGCCTGGAGAATATGGTGGAAGGACATCAGGTTCAATGGCTTGGCGACTAGCCAGAGGTGAAATTGGTCCAGAGGTACGTAACTTTTGCACTGGTGACCGTCTTAGGGGCAGCTGGCCAGAGGTTCTGTGATTATGGTCTGCAGAGGAGGAGCGCTTCATGGTAGGTAGCTTACAGATAGCCTACACATTTAATTCAAACAGTCAGACTTGGAAATACATTAACTTTTAACTTAATTTAGATACCGTAAAAGTATGATAATTCCAACATAATTAACTTAATTAAGAACATTAAGTAGAGGTTCAGAAATAATTTTTGAGGACTGATCATGGTCTTTTGATTCTTAAAATGTTTGGGAATTCTTGATCTAAAATGTTTTGCTCTTTCAAGTTAATAAAACGTACTTTCCTTTTAATTAGTTGTGCTGTGACAGAAGTAGGAAGTATAAGGCAGTTGAAAACAGTTGGGACAACTGAAAAAAAGGTTTTTCTTAGTTACTATTGACTAAAGCCTGAAAGTAGGTTTTGACCAACTATATTTGTTAATAATGTGGGAGCAATTAGGATTGTGTAAATGGAACAGTCTCTTAAATAATAAGCTCTATTGTCTTTCATACCAATGCTTTTGACTGTTTCTGAAAGCAAGGTTTTATTATTTTATGCCGAGATAATAGTTTCCCAGAACCATAGCTATGTTCCACTTGAGCCAGCATGCAAGGGTGTTATTTACCCATCAGTCATTAGGTCAGTTTTATACTGAGCCTGTCGTGTGGAATGAGTGACAATTCTAAACAGAATCAGGTAGGCAAAATTAATGTTTCGTAGGACTGTTCGTTTGAGAAACCTTAGATTTTATTTCAATTCTCCATAGTTTAGATTTAATTTCTGCTTTGCTGAAACTCCAAAGAGCAGTGACAAATCTTTAAAAGTAATACTGTGAAGTTATGAAATTTGTGCCTTAAGTTTTTTGAAGTTGATTTGTAAACTGTCATATACAAGCACCTGTATATGATAGTCACAGAATTACGTTTGCTATTCAAAATAACCATTTACTTATTGCTTGTACAGGAAATAGACTCCACATGTAAATTTTCTATTCCTAACATGTCAGTCTCTTACTTAAATGTGGTAATTTAATGGTATTTTGTTAATAATTTATATCTAAAAGTAATTATATGCAAAATTAAAAAATGGAAGTACTGCTTCCCTCTTGAAAAGGTGCAGATCTACTGTAGGAAATAGTTTTTAAAATTTTGTTTTGCAGAAATGCTTCTGTTCGTGACCTCTCCTGAAAATGACATTTTTTTTTTTCCGTTGGCAGCAAAACTGAATTGGGAAACCACGACATGTGACAGCAGGCATAGTCTGACTGAAATAAGTAATAAATAGTACATAATCTTACTGAAATGTGTTGGAGAATTAAGGTGCTTCTTTTTTTTGCCTTTTTCAGAATAGAAAAGAAATAATTTTTATTCCCACTGGAAAAGAGAAGACATCTAAACTGTTCCACCTCATCTACAATATAGTAGAAGATAGTTACGCACGGATTTCCAATAATAATGAAAAAATAAGTGGCTGGGAGGCAGGTGTTTGGAAGGCAGAATCTATTTGGAGGAAGGTTGAAACAGATTGGAAAATGGTAAGCATAACAATTACTGAAAGTGTAAAATTTGCCATAAAAGTATGATAACTCCAACAAAATAGAAAACCCTTGCCAATGTTTTGCATCAAAACCTCTTTTGGTGCCCATGGAATTTAGCTAATGTTAGTAAATATTGCTGTTAACCTTGAGGTAAGATTGCCAGATGATTTAAGAAATTGAAAATAAATTTAGCTTATCTTTCAGAAAGGATGACCAAATTTTCTGCAGATAGGTAAAATCCTTGCGAAAGCACCGAAGTTTAGAAAATGGCTTCCTCTTACACTTTTGGGCAAATGGACAAATGCTATTTTATTGAAAATCAGTACTTCTCTCAAAAAAAGATTTTTTTTTTTTAATTTTATTTTGGAGAACAGCTTTGTAGTGTATCATACGTCTTTGAGACACAGCCAAAGAAGAAATTGTCATCCTAAATACTACAATTACATCTGCAAGAAGGCAGAAGCCTGTCAGTTGTCCAGATTATTGTATACCCTGCCTAGAATCTTTCCTATCTGTCAGGACACTGAGCAGCACAAGAATCTAAATCTTAAGAAGAAGAGAACTGATGCCTGTAAGATGGGAAGGGGTCATTTACTGAGTCATTTAAAGCAGCTTTTCCCACAAGAGCTACCAGCTGTGGAACTGAGTGTTCCAGTCAGGGACTGTGACATGCTACTGCTTTGTTCTCCTGCCATTTTACTAATCTGAAAGGTCTCTGGCCAAACATTCTTCAAGCTTAGGCAATGGTTAGCTTCCCATTGATGAAAAATGGAGCTAATTATACAACTGTCTTTTGAGGGTTTTTGTGCTGTGTCTATACACAACTAACTTGGAAACTGTGGTAGAGGAATAGCTTGGAGAGGTGGTTTACATAAAAGAGAAGGAATAAGGCAGGAAGTTGGAGGATAATATAAAAGACGTTACAACACAGTAGGCCAATAGGAAAAGAGAAGTTACAAAAACTCAGAATGAGGGACGTGTTCTTTACTTCCCTAGGATCTGCTAAAAATCTGGATAGCACATTGTATCTTCAAGTCTCTAATGATCAGTTAGCCTCACTTTTGCAAGAAACACACTGATTTTTGTACTGAAATTGGTTACAAGTCTGCTGCTCAGCTCTACTAATGCGATAAAAGAGGGAGGGACCAATCTATAAGACCCAGCAAAACTACTTTACACTTCTATTCCACATCACCTCAGTTTTTCTAGATAATGTAGGAGAGGATGGCCCTGAGAAATTAGAAGCTACAGATCCAGTTGTCTCAGGCTTGTGGGTAAGGCACGTTACTTCTACAGGAACAGCAGGAAGTCTGTGTATGCATCTAAAATGACTTTTTTTATTATTATTATTATTATTATTATTATTATTACGGGAGACAGCTGAGGGAGAGGTTGTTAGGGGTTTGCTTGTTCTTTTTCTAACACCTCTAGTAGATCTGCAAGGTACCAGTTTGGAGTTTGATTCAGCAGCTGTCCAAGAAACCTATCTGCCAAAGGAGCCTTCACAGAATTTTTTGGTTTTGTTTTTAATCATTTAGTATGTGATGCATGGAAAGGAATTTAAATATAAAAGCAACATTAAAGGTAACTATAGGTATTAGCCCAGGAGTATGAGGAAAGAACCATCAGTTACATATTCTAACTTTGCAGTGTTGTTTATCAAAATGATCACCTTGGCCAGTCTGATAGCCATCTCCATTGTGTTTGTGTATTAGTCTTTTTTTCCTGAATTCAGACTTTTTTCAAATAATGATGGAAATAGAATAGGCAGATGTGAAAGTTAGAGGATGGTCTCAAAGATACAGAAGGAAACTTTAACTTCTGTTTTCCTGATTGAATACTTGAATATTATAATGGCAGATGAGACAGGCTAATGTTTGAAGTTTTATCCCCAAAAGCCTATGTTTAGTGCACCTCAAGCAAGTAGTAATCAACGGTGTGTTTTGGCTTCCTTACTCAAATATGGCAA